TCTTTCTCTCCTTCCTTCCTTCCTTCCTTCCTTCCTTCCTCCCTCCCTCCCTCTCTCTCAGTTGTGGGGCTTGAACTCAGGTGCTGGGTGCTGTCCTGAGCTCTTTTGCTCAAGGCTAGTGCTCTATCACTTTGATCCACAGCTTTACTTCTAGCTTTTGAGTGGTTAATTGGAGCTAAGTGTCTTATGAGGGCTTTTCTGCCTGGTCTGGCTTCAAACTGTGATCCTCAGATCTCAGCTTCCTGTGTAGGTAGGCTTAGCCACCAGTGCTCAGTGCTCATTATTTCTTAATCAAGTCACTTCACATGATAAAATGTGATGGAATTCTCAATTCAATTATTACCATGATTCAACAATCCTTAAAATTAAATTTGAAACTAGTGTGGTCGTCCAATTAAGATTATGACAGGGAACTTGAGCAATAAATGGATTGTTAGAAGAATAAAGAGAAACTTAAATTATAGGAATACCAGATACAAGGATTGGCCAGTGTCCTTAGTGCTGAAGTAGACTAGCCCTGAAGAGGTCTGGCTGTAGCACACACTGGATGTTGCAAGGTTTTTCAGGGTGCAAATCCATCAAAACAGCACTGGGGGTGTCTCATGGAGGGCCTGTACTCACACTGGGATACGAAACACCTTGAGGAGTTTCAGGGAAAGCTGTTCCTAAGATTTCTTGTGCGTTCACCTAAGAGTGTTCTTGGATAAGTGGCTTGTGAGAGGTGCTGGCCGCAGGGCCCCTGTGGAGTGGAGCTGGGTGCAGCTAGAATTCAGTGAAATCCCCTGCCCCAGTGTCCCTCCAGCGCCCTCTACTGGTATTTTAATTTCATCCCAGGAAGACAAAGTGTTTACAGTTCTCTTATCACAAAACAAGCAACAGAAACATGGACTTGGATCCTGGAAGTAATAACTTACTTAATAATTGGCTCAATGGCCATTTCCTTTAAGTGGAAAAGAAAATCTCATAGTTAAGCTTGGATTTCATCGAGCCTCTGGAAGGCTCATTTCAAATGGGCTGTGGACTCTCCCTTGAGATAAATGCTACATGCACACGGACACACCTGTAGACAGCTGTGTAGACAATTCAGAAGTCCACCCATTTTGGATTTCTTCCCCAAAGCCATATTAAGAACCCTCTACTCTCAAGTTAGACCAACAGCAGGTCCCCAAGCATGTTTGAATGTAGGGTAGTAAATGTACTATCTCTAAATTCCATTCAAGTACATTTGCTTGGTACCAGCAAAGGTAACACTTAGACATATACCCAGGAGTTGTAAATTTGGGAGTAGGAAATTAATGAAATACTCTTTTGTGCAAAGAGAAGCTGAGTGCTTGTGGAAGGGCAAGTGATTACAAAACAATTGTGATACTGTGATTGCGGTTTACACTTGGATGGTTGTATTCAGAGGAGTATCCAGTAAGACCTCCTGTGCTTTAGTCAGGTAGGCTTGCTTATCTCCAGGGTGAGGCCAGAGATCTGTACCATACTGTCTGCTATTCTTGTCCACTGGTACCATCTACCTACCTACCTTGACTCAGGACTAGACCATGTGACCAAACAGACCATGTTCTACCTGACAGTTTGTCATCACAGGTGTATTTTATGTGGCTTCTGCATTGCTTCCTCTCATTTGTGGAGAATCCAGCCACCAGTTGAACACTCAGGCCATCCTGTGAAGATGCCCATGTGGGAGGAATGGCGATTTCATACCAGCAGTTGGTACCAGTTTGCTAGCCAGTGAGTGAGCCACCAAGTTGAGTCTTTGGATGACTAGATGACAGCTGAAATTCTGACGGCATTGCCAACAGAGATGCAAAGCAGAATGGCTCCAAACCATACAGTACCTACAGGCAGAGTGAGTCATCAGAGAATTTCGAGACTCCTATCTTAATCCCAAGGTCACTCTTCAAGTGCTGTCTAGAAAGGCAGTCACTGAAAAGCAGGAAAATACAACTTCTGAAATAGCCTATGCAAGATTCTGTCAATAAAGAAATGGATGAGAATACAGAGTGTCCTTCTGGCTATGCTTAGGAACTCATAACAGGTCTATACTATGCTCCCTGTGCTCACCCAACTGTATGAGGCATTACAAGCCAGTGTGTTCACTCTTCTGAGATGTCTGGAGATAATTCTTACGGAGGATGAAGTGTCTTGGCTTGCGTAGTCTGGAGATGACATAGAAAACATTTAATAATTATCAATTTGAAGGGCTGGTATGTGGAAGAAGAGCAAACATACTTAGCTCAGTAAAGGGCTTGCCTTACATTCACAAGGCCCTGGGTTCCATCCTAGATACTGCCCCCTACAAAAGTAAACACATCTGGATTGATCAAGAGGGGAAGAGCTGACCTTATGAGAAATGACAGTGATGCAGGCTTCAACTCACTTAGAACAACTGTGGCTGCAATGAAAGCCAAGGTGCTCCACTTTCACACAAAAATTTAAGCCAAGGCTGACTTCAAGACCTTGCAGAAATATGGGGCAAGATTCTGGAAACATTTGGAAGCTTGATCTAGATGATTTCTACAATATTGTTTCTGGAATTTTTTTTCTCTGAAATGGGCCTTGTCATCCATGCCTATATTCAAACAAGCAAGTTCAGTATAATGGGAAGAATATATGTAACGCTGGAATCAGAACTCTATTTGAAACTCAATTAGTGGGTGACTTTGTGCAAGGCATTTACCTGAGCTTCTGTGTCCCCAATATGTCTTGGGGCTATTCTAAGAATTCATTAGAGGACACTCCACCTAAAACATATTCTTATCATTTAATGTGTGTGGTTTTCTTCTTTCTTTTCTTTCTTTTTGAGATGGAGTCTTGCTATGTTGCCTAATCTGCTTTTAAACTTCAGAACTCAAGTGATCCTCCTGTCAAGTGTTCTAAGAAGCTGGAACTATAGACACACAATATTGCATCATTTCTTCCCTCCATTTTCAACAGCATGTTTTATAATCAAACATCTGGGACCAATTAAGATTTTAAAAGAACAGCATTGAAATGAACTGATCGTCACTGGTTTCCAGAGTTGGTTTTCTTTTTTCTTTTTGTGAAAACAATACACTTGATTGAAACTTGATTAGCTGCTTTGTGACAGAATCTGTAAACCTTGACAAGAATGGCCAAAGTGGAAATGGAAGCAATCAGGAGACAGATGGCCTACATCACCCTGACACTTGCACTGCAAGATCATCACTTGACTTAAGTCTTTCATTGCAAGGCAGCAGCTAACCAAACAAGTGAATAAAGTATGCTAACCAACATCATAAAAGATATTTTGGATTCTTGGAAGGCACTCCAAATTTTGTGTAAAAATAATTATGAAAAAAATTTGTAGCAAGTTTCATTTTTAATTTTAAAAATGAAACTGCAATCTATTTTTGTGTGTGTGTGTGTGTGCCAGTCCTAGGGAATGAACTACAGGCCTTCGGCACTGTCCCTGAGCTTTTTCCCCCCCCAATACAAACAATCCCTTTATATATGGGAATATAAATACTAGATATACCAAAGATAACCTTTGAAGAAAATAAATTATATTTGTTCAGGATGATTTAAAATTAAAAAAAATCTATTATAAAGGTGATGTACAGAGGGCCTTAGTTTTTTTTTTTTTTTTTCCTTCTTAAGTCTAGCACTCTATCACTTGAGCCATAGCTCCACTTCAGGTTCTGGCTTATTTCAATTGTTTTCCTGGTTATTACAAAGTTTTACATTTGTCCATGCTAGTGAATCTTTGATGGACTCTACTGGAAATAATGATTATCGTGAAATACATTATATTAATAACTATTAATGTACCTTTCAGTAATAATATACATTTCACAGTGTCAAGGGAGGTGTGCGCACAGCTTACAAATGATTTTATAGAGGATTCTCAGAAGCTTGAGTCAAACGTCTAAGTGATGGGGTCTGAGGGACTGAGAGGTGGTGGCTGTGCAGACTTCATGGCCTAAACAGGAATTTGACCTAAGTCTTAGGTAAGACAGAGCAGGGCTTGTAGAGTGGTATAACATCATCAAAGACTAAGACTCAATTTTATGGCACAGTCATTGTTGGAGTTTGAATATAAAATGTCCCCACAGACTCTCTTGGTGTCCAGCTGCTGGTGCTGCCTCTGGAGGTTTTGGAAACTTTAGGTAGCTAGATCTACCTGGAAGTAACAAGATGTTGGGAAGGCTCTCCTCCCTGGCCCATTCCTGCGTCCCTCTCTGCCTCCTGTCCATCAAGGAGTAAACAGTTCTCTGCTACACTGCTACTCTCCCATGGCATTTTGCCCAACCATTGGGCAAGTGATCATGAACTAAAAGCACGAACTAAAGACAATTCCTGGCTTAAGTTGTTTTTTTCTGGTATTTTGGTTAATGAGGCAAATGCGACTAATATAGCTAGTTTTCCTTCTCTTGGTTGTTGCTTCAGGAAGATTCTGGCCTCCAGGAAGGCAGGTGTGAGCGAGTGTGTACAGCGAGTGTGAGCTGAGGCCCACAGAATGTGTCCATCTGAAAGGTCTCTTGCCTCCACACCTGGAACTCTAGTAGCGACTTCTCATTGTCCTGGAGGTGTATTCCATGGCTGCAATGGAGTCAGACCGTGTTTTTTTGGCTGGAATCCAGTTAAAGCTCCATTCGGGGTGACTGTAGATCAAGACCAGAGTCTGGTGCAGAAAACCTGAGTCAGAGCAAGTTAAGAGTCTCTTCTTGATTGGGAACAGGGGAGACGTGGGTCTTATTTCAGAAGAGCAGTTTAGGGGATACAATGAAGGCTTATTATAAAGACCAGGAGGCGTAGGGGGAAGAGGGGTGGAGAAATCTGTTGCGTCGGATACTTGAGTACAGCTTCCCCGGGGTCAGCGATGCGGTGGTGCTGAGGCCAGGGAGGGGGCAGAGGTCAGAGGTCAGCTCACTTCCTTGCCTCGTCCTGGAAGCGGAGGTCAGCGGCTCTGCCACGCACACCTACCGACCCACCCCGACTCCTCACCCCACACACCCTCACCGGGGACGAGCATGGCAGGCACGGCCCTCACCGCTCGTCTTCACGGTCCTGTGGCCTCGGTGCTGTCCGGAAAGCGCTCGCCCGCTCCGGTGACAGACGGAGGCTGGAGGGCCGCAGGCCGGGCGTCCCCAGCTCCTCCACGTACCCCAGGTCCCCGTCAGCCACGACTGCGGCCCCGCTGCGGCCCCAGGCCTCCACAGAGACGTCGGCGTCCGGAAGGAGGCGCCGGGACGGAGAGGCCCGGCCCCGCCCCGCCCCGCCCCGCCCCGCCCCGCCCCGCGGGGCCGACGACCCCGATCCGGAGGACGCAGCTCCGCCCAGGCCCGTCCCAGCCCCGCCCCCCGCGCTGCCGGAAGCAGGAAGCCGACAAAGCCCGAGAGGCGGGGCGTAGTGACGCACGTCCGCCAGCGCCACCCTGCTTAAAGGGGCCGCGCCCCTCCCCGCCGCCACCACCACAAAATCAGCGCGCCGCGGAAGGGCGTCGCGGTCCCCCGTCCCCGCCCTCTGACACCTGCCGCCGCTCGGGCTACCCGGGGCCCGGTGCCGCCCCGCGGAGGGCACCCGGCGGAGACCAGGCCGCGCCCTTCGGCCGCCCGCTCCGCCCCGCCGCCGGACGGAGAGTGTGGGCCGGACCGAGCTGCCGCCGCCCCGGGGCCTCCCGTCCTCAGAGCCCTCCTCCCCTCCGGTACCGGCGCCGTCCCGCCGCGTCGGGGGGCCTTGTTGCGTGTCCGCCCGGGGTCGCGGAAGGGCGGGGGCGGCGGGGCGGGGCCGCGGCTCCCCTCCCTCCCTCCCGCCCGCCTCACTGCCCTCCCTCCTTCCCGCCCTTCCTCCCTCCCTCCGCAGTCGGAGCTCGGCGGGCACCGCCGCCCTGCCGCCCGCCGCCCGTCGCCGCGGACCTGCCATGGCCTGCGCACCGGCGCGCGCCCCTGTGACTGGTTTGCACGCGGCACCCTGAGGACTCCCGCGCCCCGCCGCGGCCGGCCCCGCGCCCCAGCGCCCCCCCCACCCCCCGCGCCTCACCCGGCCCCTTCCCCGAGGCGTCGCCGCGGGCCTCCCCACGGCCGGCCCACCCGAGGGCCATGGACCCCAGCGGGATGGAGATTCCGGTGACCCTCGTCATCAAAGCCCCGAACCAGAAGTACCGCGACCAGACCGTCAGCTGCTTCCTCAACTGGACCGTGGGGAAACTAAAATCGCATCTCTCCAGCGTGTACCCCAGTAAGCCCGTAAGTGCTGCGGGCCCCGGCGTGTGCCCCAGTAAGCCCGCGAGTGCTGCGGGCCCTGGCGCGTACCCCAGTAATCTCGCAAGTGCTGCCGCCCGCCCAGCTCTGCCTCCCATTACCGCCAGTGCGCTCAGCTCCCGAGCTTGCGGGGAGGCCCTGGGTGCACAGTCTGTCCTCAATATTCGACCCAGGAAGTTCTGTTCGTTAGTGGGAGTGTGCAGAATTTGCACGTATGGAGACAGGCAATATAATATAGAGTCATCAGCCTAATGCGAGAACGCTAGATGCAATCTTTGTGTGTGTGTGTGTGTGTAGGTGTGTGTGTGTGCACCAGTCCTTGGGCTTGAACTCGGCCTGGACACCGTCCCTAAGCCTTTTTGCTCAAGGCTAGTGCTCTACCACTTGGGCCACAGCCCCACTTCTGGCTTTTTGTGGTGGTTAATTGGCAATAATAGTTTTCTGCTCTGGCAGGCTTTGAACCTCAATCCTCAGATCTCAGCTTCCTGAAGAACTAGGACTACAAGCGTGAACCACTGTTGGCCAGGCATGGATGCATTCTTTTTGTTGCTTTTAAAGATAAAGAAGCACAACAACCCACATTAGAGCTATGACTGTGTACTAGACCCAAATTCCATTGTCACATTCAACACCCAACTTCAGGAATTTGTTGACTGTGGAGAGAAATTTTTTTTCTTGGAAATAAGTATGTACCCCCATACAAACTACACTTTCACAATGGCTATGTATTTCAAGGAGCAGTATTATCATTTGGAAATTGTCTGTTCTTCCCTGGCACCACCGTTTTCTCTTGAACATGTCATAGAAAAAAATATTGGATCATCCTTCCACCCCCCCCCCCCCACCCCAATCACTTGGTGAATCTTTTATTCTTTGTTATCCATATTACTCCGGCTATGTTTTCCATTCCAAACCACCACATCTGGATTATTGGAAAGATAAGTAAAATGCACAGATTACTAGTTTGTTTGTTCCCAGAGTGTCATTAGAAGGGACCTGGCTGGTAATTAAAAAGTTCTGGAGTAGTGAAATCTTCACATTCTTCATTGTAATAAAGTTCTCATTCTTGAAGAATGAGTGTCCAGTTACTAAACCTTATCTTTAAATATGGAAGAGGTACAGATTTCCAGGTCAGAAATATCTTTGGTGTCAGGACAGTTGAAGCGTGGGCCCTTTGGAGCACCTGTGTGTTCATGCCTGTTCTGTATCTAAAAAGATTACATCTTTGGAGGTATTTATGAGTTAGAACTTTCAGTCCTGCCGTATTAAATTTGGACTCTTAAAACATCTAGAACAACTGAAGAATTATGGTGGTTTTTGCAGAAAAAGCTCAGTTGGCATAACCATGTTTATTAGTACCTTGTGATATCAATATTTTTATTAGAGAGGGGCGGGGACCCTGGGTGTTTAAGTACTTGGACAAACTAGTTGGAGCTCTTGGTTATTCATCGTATATGTTTGAGAGTTAAGATACACCGCAAACAACAATTGCTAAAGCATTTCTTTGGTACAAAAGGCTTTGTGTTTCATATAGTTAGATATACACATTTTTGAAGTAGAAAACACCTTTGGAAACTAGTTACAACTGGGGAGTGGGAGGGTAAATTTGATCAAAGTTCATTATATAGACATATAGAAACATCACTATGGAATCCTTTGTACAGTTCATACTCACTAACAAAAGAGAGCAAAAAGAAAATATAAATCATGGATTCCCATTGTGCCACTGATAATTTAGCCCAAATACCATTTGTATTACATTCTTGAGCAGATGTCATTTACATATGTACTGAAGCATGTACTTACATGAAATCTCTGTGATATATTATTAAACCAAAAAGCACTAAGTGAGCTATATGATGGACAAGAGCATGACTTTCTCAAACTCTTGTTTTTAAGTGTGAAGTCCATTGGCCTTATCTGCCCTGGGTGACCCTGTTGGGGCAGGAGCTGTCCCTGGCAGGGCCAGGCACTAGTGGAGGAGTGTGTGTTAGTCAGCTGCTTGAGTTGGAGATCAGTTGTAAAACTTCTCCTTTCCCACCCATCTGCCTCTTTGGAGGCTGTACAAAATAACATGCATCCTATTCATATCTTTACCCGGTAGCTAGTTTTCTCTGTTTGGCATGTAATTGCAAGGGAATTTCATTTCTAGTTTAACAAGAGTGGGCCAGGGTTACAGGTGTTTATTGTAGAATTTAACTGAAAACTTGTATATCTAGTAGATCCCATAGGTTTACATTCTGGACTTATAACTTGAAATTTCATCACAATTAATTTGAAATGGTGCAGCTGTTCAGTGATACTCCATAGTTCTAGTAGTCATCAGCATAGGAATAGAATCATAAAAGTTTACTTAATGAAGTTATTTGTAATTCAGAACTTTTTTTTTTTTTTTTTTGTCAGTCATGGGGCTTGAACTCTGGGCCTGGACGCTGTCCCTCAGCTCTTCAGCTCAAGGCTAGCGCTCTACCACTTGAGCTACAGCGCTACTTCCGGTTTCCTGGTGGTTTATTGGAGATAAGAGTCTCACGGACTTTCCTGGCTGGGCTGGCTTTGAACCGCAATCCTTGGATCTCAGCCTCCTGAGGAGCTAGGATTACAGGCGTGAGCCACCGGCTCCCGGCTAATTCAGAACATTTTGTAACTAAGCAATATTACAACAGAAGTTTAGGTTTCCTGTGACCACCCACAGTGATGACTTAACAGGGACTGTGTGTAAATGTGTTATGTGTTTTGTTTTGTTTTTTACATAGGGTCTTGCTATATTGCTCAGGATGGTCTCCAATTCCCAGGCTCCTCCCTCAGTCTCCCATGTGATGCGACTAAAAGTATGACCTCCACATCTGGCCTTTTCCTCCCGCTTCTAGTCAGCTATTAATTTTCTTTCAGAGCTGAAGTTGCACTATGTTACTTAGTAACACAGTAATAATAAGCCTTTTAAAAATAGGGTTTTAAATTTTTTTCCCTCCAATTTATGCAATACTAGATAGATTTGATTTTCTGGTATGCTTTTATTTAACTCCTTTGATGTTAAACTACCATTTACTAAGTTGTAGCCATGTGGGCCAAGTACTCCACTGAGCAGCACCTGGTGTGTTTTTTCCATGTATTCCTTATGAATATCTTACAAGATTTATTATCAGCTCTGTCTACTGGTAAGAAAACTGAATAGTGGTGATTTTACAGGGTTGGAGAATTGACTTTGAATTCAGGTTGGTCTGACTTGAAAGTGCAGGTCCTGAATGTTTGCTGTTCATGTTATACATGATGGTTGCATCTGTACCTATACAGTAATGGAGCTAGGCAGGCAAGGAATTGTAATCTCAGTTCTGCTCCTGTAAGTAGAATAAGTCTATACATATATGCTTGGATAGTCTCTATAGACAAATGTGTAACCTACTCCTACTCACCAGCTTGGTATATTTCTGTTTATCCTGATAAACCATAAAGAAGAGCTGGCTGACACCTTAATGTCCCAAGACTGCTGAGCAAATGGCTTCGGTGTGTCATTTCAGTCTACTAAGGTCTATGAATTGGCATTCTCTATTGTTCATAGTACCTCTTCTGTGGGACTGGCCTTGGAGTGGAAACCGCCAAGTAGAGAATTGTATTTGGAGTGCCAGAGAAGGTTGCTCCTAGATTCTTTATACTGCTGTTACTGCAGGGAGAAGGCTGCCATTTTCAAAGTACATTTCAGTAATTACACCGAGTTCACTAGCAAGTGCCATATCACTTTAAAAGGAGGTGTGTACCGGGAGGTGCACAAATATCAACACCATGGAAAATGGCTACTTAACTTTTTTTTTTTTTTGGGGTCCGGTCGTGGGGCCTGAACTCTGGGCCTGGGCGCTGTCCCTCAGCTCTTCAGCTCAAGGCTAGCGCTCTACCACTTGAGCCACAGCGCCACTTCCAGCTTTTTTCTTTTTGCTTATGTGGTGCTGAGGAATCGAACCCAGGGCCTCATTCATGGAAGGCAAGTGCTCTACCACTGAGCCACCTTCCCAGCCCGAAAATGGCTACTTTCAAAGGGCATGTTACAGTTCTGGTTAACTGAGGGTTGCTTTTGCTTAGCCATTATCATGTTAGGCATTTTAAAGTTTAAAATTAGTATGTGATATTTGATTATGTTTAAGTTGATAATGGTGGGAACATGAGTTTTTAAGCTGATACAGTTCTGAGAGAATTTTTTAGTCCTTGATATAAAAAATATACTTTATATATTAACTATATAAAAATTGAAATATAGTATTACTAGTTTTATAAGCTTATCTTTCTAGACTTTTGTAACTATTTAAAATGTGTAAGGGATACATAGTATTCAGTTTTTGCTATCTGGCTAAACATTGTTTCAGCCACCTTAGAAAATGGTGTACACAAACACATGAACACTCCCCCTCTCCCCCCCCCCCCCCCCTACACTGGGGTTTGAACTCAGACCCTTGTATTTGTTAGGCAGATGCTTTTAATATTTGAATTGCTCTGCTGGCTAGATAAGATACATACATAAAACTTTTTAGAAAGACACTACTTTTTCCAGATTAGTGTTTATTTTTGAGTATCAGGCCGGGAGGTCTAATATTTCTTGCCTGTTGAGTGAGTCACAGCACTCTTTTCTGGGCTGGCTAGTGAAGTGGCTGTCTTACTGGAGTAGCTCTGCATGTAGTTGATGGGTGTTTCCAGCTTGTTCTTCACCTTATAGCTGCCTCTGCTCTGC